AAACACGTTATGGCTCTTCTTGGACTGTTTATACAGCTACCATTTAATTGTAGAGTATTCCTTCTAGCAGGTACACTGCTCTCTTCCTTTCTCCTGCTCTTCCCTGCCTCTATAAAATATCATCTCTGTACAAGCACAGCCTCACAGTTGAACAGTTCAGGAGAAGAATCGGAGAAGCTGAAAATTAAAAGTACAATAAAAGGGATCAGCTTCAGTGCAGGCACTGAAAAACTGGGATTAATTTAGCATGCTGCTGGTTGTGACAGAGCAGAGCAAAGCAGTGAAAATGCAGTGAACAAGTGGTGGCTTGTTGTATTATAACACTGCTCTGCAATCTTCAGACAAGATGCACTGCTCCCCCCATTTATCAGAATTACTAGCCTGCTGGATCACTGGCCGTGTCTTACTCTGTTTACAATTAAAAAAAAAAAAAAAGTTGACTGCTTCGTCTTGTGCCTGATGGAGTGGTAGATTATGGCTGAGATATTGGCAGCTCTACAAGAGAAAACAAACCACAGGAAATCTTCCAATCCCTCATCTACAGACTGAGAAATGTATTCTGAGATTTTTCTAATTTCTGATTTCTCTCCTCATTGTTTTTATTTTAGTACAGCCCTATTTCATTTCAAAGGTACCGAAAAAGTAGAATGAAGGAACATTTCTCCTCTCTCAAATATTTCTCTGATGCCTTTTATATCTGAGTTTTCTTTATCGATTACATGTATCTTCAGGGTGCTCCCCTCCTCCCTACCATACTTATCCTACTTACTGCTCTCGCTCTGCACAGGATGCTCCTTGCCTTACAACAAGCAACCCAGCTCCTCCACTGTGGATGGAAGGACCCGGCTGTGCTGCTGCACCAGTGAAAATGACCACGGCCAACACTGAACATCTACAAAGGAAACCTGTGCCCAATAGGAAAGTTTTTAATTTGTCAAACTTCTGTGTTTTAAAACATGACAGCAAAAGTTTTCTCTTCAGCACTGGCACCTGAGCCTTTCAAAATTAAACATAATTAGACATTCAGGGTCTTTTTCTAGTCTCTACTTAGTAAACATTTCATTGCAACAAATTCACAAAAACCCCTACGTATTCCAACGCTTTTTAATTAGCAGAGCATCAGAATGCAGTTCTCCAGGAAGCCAGGAAAAGGTCAAAATTCCCTTATACATCTGACAGAAAATCCACTGGCAGACACCAACATGATTCATTTCACTGCCTTCACCAGATTTTCAGTCTGTCCCCAGTGTCTAAAGCAGACAAAGCTGTAAAATCCAACTCAACCAGTGTAAACTGTTTTACTTACTCTTCTTCTGCAAAAAGCTGTCCAGACACGATGTTGGTATCGCCAGGCGCATAGTTCCACGCTGTCTCTATAATGCCGATGTAGTACTCCCTGTTCACTGCCGCAACCTGGCAACTGCAGGAAACCAGCAAGCAACTTAGGAAGAATTGTGTCATTCTGCATTCATGAACCTTGTGGAAAATGTGAAATAAAAACACAGGGCAGGCACATGCAATTTCCCTTTATATGTTCTCGTCTCTCCCACCTCCCACCGTCCTTACCTCCCCCACCCCTGCTCCTGTTTGCTTTGGGGAATATAATAAAACGTTGCACAATGTCTCTGTGTGTCAAGAGTAAACAAAAGATTCTGGTAACCTCGTCAGTTCAGATAATCTTCAAAGAAATTTTCTCAACTTCTGCCAACTTACTATCACACAAATTACCATTTAGGCTGTTATCAGATTGTAAATCTCATAGCTGAATTGAAAGTCCTGCAGATTTAAATGGATTTACAGATTTAAGCTTAATTACATTCTTCGCCATCCTTACCAGTCTCTATATAGAGAGACTACTCTCTTGCATACCACTGAGAAAACGCTTTCTGTAGCGTGGGGCTCGAGAACGCCACCACTCAGCACCCTGTGCCCAGCTCAAACGTCCCTTTCCCGGGGGATCCCCAAGCCCACGGCGGTCCCGGCGCTACGGCTGCCCCCCTGCAGTGGCCACCGAACCAGTGCAACACGGACAGGCAAGGGAGGGCCGAGTCCCTGGTGCTCAAGCAGAGCTCACACACTGACAGACGCATGGATAGGCTCTGCTAACCCACCACAGTTCCCTTGGAAAGGTAATTGCAGCACAAAGCGCGGCCTTATAGCCAGAGCTGAAAAGGACCGGCATTGCACGGGTGGAGGCAGGGGGTGTTTGCATCTCATTTCCATGCAGTTTCAGCATTGCCCAAACAGAGGCTCAGAAATTCCACAAAATGAACTCCCGACATTATCGTTACTGTCCTCCTAGTCTGTCACCAGACAGGATAAGCCACGTTCTTCAACGATTGAAAGCATAATAGACTTATACAGCTCCAGATAATCTTAACTGTTACCATTATCTAAATGTACTACCCAGTGCAGAAGGCTACAGTTTTGCTTTCTTCAAGTTCTGTAAACATTTTATACCTGTTAGTCTCATCGACAAATACAAACAAAATTGGACCTTAAACACAGAACGTTGAAAAAGCACCTAACTAAAGTTTGCAATTGCATTTCTTTCCAGCATACACCCATTATATCATGGTTGTGTCTGAAGCTTTAGAGATACAAAGCCACCTGTAAACTTGCAAATTGTAAAGGCTTCTATTAAAAAAAAAAGTATATTCAGTCACTTGGGAATTCTTAAAAAAAAAAAATCTCTTCTGCACTCTGAGCACTGACAGTCATATTGATTCTAAATGACATTTTTCATTGTATGGCAACTTAAAAAGATCCATAATAATGACAACCTTCTTTGAAGCTACTTTCTTAACGGTTAGAAAAATTACGATTATTTTGTATAGAAGACTAAGAATCAGAACACAACTCAGGTAAGACAGGTTTCCTTTAATGACATACAAATCTAAATCTTATTTACCAGGATTAAAATGACCAATTTTAATCACTATTCATATAAAAAAAAGTTTCAGGCACAGTCAGAATACTGATATTCATAATCTCACCTTCTGGAACCTTCTCCACATCTGCATTGAATGGAGGATTCTGTTTCTGGCTTTGGCCACAGTCATTTAGCCAAGTTTTTGAAATCTGACCAAATCTATGATGAAATTCTGGAGTTTCCCAGGTTGGCATCACATGCTCAAAATGATTTCTGCGGGGCTTTTTTTTTTTTCTTTGCCACGGATGAAGGTCAGTGGTTCAGTGGAAAGATCAGTTTGTACAGGCTGTATATGCATCTGCAAATTAACTGAGGTAAAAATGATAAAACTTTTCCCACCTTTTATACTACTTAAATTCAAAGTAATTCCTTAATACTCAGAAAACAGAGTTGTTCACGTATATGTGGGCTATTTGGTTCATTTTTGCTCATATTTCCATCAGATTGAGGAAGAGGGAAAAAACACAGAAGTATCCTTGAAATCCCCACATTTATTTGAGGGTAAAAACATGAGCATTTGATTTGCCTTAGTCCCTTGACTTCTCTAAATTACTCTTTCTTGATTTGCAAAAGAACTGCACATTGTTTTTATTTAAAGATAAAACAAAAACTACTGACAGACAAGATTTTTCCATTACCGCTTTTAATCGTGCCTCACCGAAACTTTAGGATGTTTGTGTGCCTGCACGCACCTCTTATCTTCTCTTAAGGAACTAAAAAAAGCTGACAGACGTGACTGAGCTTCCTGAGCCTGTATTATTATCTTCAGAGAGTGTCCGAAGAGCAGGAACCTCGCTCCTGTGGTAGACAGGGACTAAAAAGACTGAGCACCTAATTTAATTGATTAAATGATGAGTCTGAAGTTTGGTGTCGTTAATATCTCCCTCATTTTTCACACTGAGGATGCTGAAATGCTACGTCTGTTCTGAAAGTCCTCAAAATTGCATTGAAAATATAAAGCTGATCTTTTACTTCAAAAATTTTCCTTGAGGAAAAAAAAAATTAAAAATTTAATATTATGACCAGAAAAAGTCTCAACAAAAGCTCCCAGTGAAATTGAACTGAAACCTCACAATTTCATAATTTCCTAATCTGAATAATGTGTTTATAGTTTGCTGCCCATGCTGCTGTCCTGACCTCCTGCAAACCTTTGCAGGTAAACACCCTTTAAAGTTCTGGGCAGCTTCATTTGTCCTCTGCCATCCTATTCTTTTTCAACGTGGAAAAAGCCCCCCATCCAACATATGAGGAATTAGCAACCAGGAAATCGTACTTCAGTGAGACTCACTTTTACCTACACGAGGAATAATATGCCATAAAATGCAAAGGTGGATGGAGATTCACAGTATTTTACTACAAATCTCTGCCCACAATTATTTGTTGTCGAAACCGAGCCTCTACAGCTATTTCTCGTTGCAGTGTATTAAATGAATAACATTCCTATTCCAGACACGGCATCATAATACTCTGGCAAAATGCATTGCCTGTGAGGAACAAATAATGCTGGAACTCTTACTTCTAGACTTTAGCACTAACTCCTCACTTACTGAAGCTTATAAATTCAAATCTGCAGCTTTCTTCCATGTGTGCCCGAGGTATTCCATGTGAGGATTTCAGCAGGCAGCACCTGCACTTCAGGTTCAGGAGCACTTCTTCAAAAAAGGCTTTCTTGTATGCTAGCGTAGTGTGAGCTTTGTCCTGGCTCTGTGGCCCACCTCTGCTGCCGTGGGAGTGAGGTCTGTATCCTGCAGCTGGAGAGCCAGATGGTCACGTTGCCTCAACCACCACCACCAGAGTCGCCGATTATGTCTAGATTTCAAGTCAGTTAATATTCTTTAGAGGAATCTTGGTTTTCCACCAGGCACAGTTCATAGCACCTCTTGTTAGAGACACCATATTTAGTATTGAATCAGGACTTAAATTGATTAGATCAAGTTTAACTTTGCCTTACATCTGAAAGCCCTGTGTGAAACAAGTTGTCAAATTTGTAAAAGCAACCCACTGTTAGCCTTTAGTATTCTAACCACCAATTGCAAATTAATAAGCTCCTCATTTAAGAGCTGAGCCGTCAAGTCACAGTTGAGTCTACCTGTGGCAATTCAGATGCCAATACCTGGATTATGGATAAAGAGGGTTACAGAATCAATACATCCAACAAGAATTAAATAATACATCTCTTTCTGTGATTTAAGACACTAAAATAGGAGACACCAGCCTGTGGTGGAGCAGAAATGTAAATTCACAAGATCACAAGAAAAAGGATGAATTAAAGACAGCCAAGCCTTGCCAGTGGTTAGGTACAGCCACTAACAATACTGCTATGGGAAAAGCTGTCAAACTACATACTGTTCTTTGTGTCTCCTGTCTGCCAAGCTCCAGACTTCCTATGATCAGAGATGGAAGTTACTGAAAAGTAGAAAGGACACATACAGGAGCAAGATAAAGGGTTAAGAGTCTCCAGGTGTAACATGCAGGTATTTCACTGCTCTCATCCAGCACAGCAAAATCTATCTCAATAGACCCTGTTTGCCAAAAGATAAGCCTGTGTTTTCCCCACGGCTGAGCTGGAGTCTGAATAGAATACCCTGTTTGTTTGCTTTCCTCAGCGAAATGACACCATTCACTTTATGAATATTTAGCAGTTCTAGGGTTTTCTGCTTTGATTGTCTGCTCCACACATACTATTTTTCATCCAAATAACCGAAACCTTTTTTCAAATATTTCTAACATTTTCAAAATAAACAGGTCCATGGTTTGCAGGCATGGAATCAGCAAGATTCTCCAAGACGTTTGGTAGGACTACGGGTTGATTGTTAAGTTTTCTTTGTTTTCCTTCTGTCCACAAACAATAGCCACAAATCCATAAGAATGTGGGATTATCATTTACGATATGATGTATATTTAAGCCTAGGGAAAAACAAGTGTGCAGTTGCAAACAGTCCCAAATTTATAGTCGTGCCTTTTTATCATGCATCTCTGAACATCCATGTCACCTTGAACTGTCTCCCAAAAGACTAGCCCCATTCTTAAACATCATTCATTTCTTTATTACTTCTTGCAGCTTAATAGAAACTAAGCAATTAAAACTTTAGATGCATTCCCCAAATCCTACAGGAAGAAATCAGCTTTTCAAAACAACCTGATAAAGGAGTAGCAAAGAAAAGTCTCAATATTGTCTTGAAACACAACTAAATGACTGATAAAGTCTATCTTTTCTAAGTATCTTACCCACAGCTACCACTTACTGTACAGTTTGCAGTTCTAACAGTGTTTAATAGTAGATGTTGATATAGCTGAATCCCACTAGTTCTGATGCAATAGGGCATTACTGTAAGTCTGAAATACCTATTTCCTTTTCCTCTGGGTGTTCACTCTCCCAAAACCCGAGTGCTGAATACAGCCACATGCTGCTGCAAATAAGCCATATGTCCACTTTATTGTGAACCCCTGAATTCTCACTGGGAATGAAATAATAATTCTTTGAGAAATTAAAAAGACTTTTTAGCTGCTAATTGAAAACAGATTATTCTTTTTTGTCTGATTATTATTGTCAAGAATGTTAGCCTTCCATTGCAGCAAGGTCAGGGTATTTAGAAGAGTATTAATGAGCTAGCAGTGGGTGCTCACAAGGTTCCCTCATATATTCCCTCAAGTCACTTGAGCAAAAAACCCATTTGCCTCTGAGCATAAAATAAAAAGAAACCCAGTGCAGCTATTAACTATTAATATGTACTAATTAGCATGGCTGACTTCAGAGCTGTGTATCTAATCTTTCAATCAGGCCTGGATGGCTTTCTAAAAGCCTTACCACAGGAAGACTTGACAGACTTTTTTTCAGTAATTGCTTTGTGCAGTTAAGAACTTCCAAGACAGAATCTAGCAGGATAGGCTGCTGCCTTTCGTGACCACCATGGTCTGTCTGAAACGAAAAGTTATTAATTTAGAAACCATGACTACATCCAGTGCACTAATTCTCAAGGGGACAACCCCCCCAACATACTGGGCTTTGAATCAGGCCCTTTCTGAACAACAAATATACCTACGTTCTAAACAAAGACAGGGGAGTATAAAAGCAGTTCTATAGCAGTTTTACAGCAGTTTATTAAAAAAAAAAAAAAAAAAAAGGTGATTTCATTACAAAAGCAGTTCCATAGTATTCAAACCTCCCTATTATCAGAGTAAGCTAGAGAGTAAAAAAAATGAACAGTCATTGCCAGGGGCAACCAGACAGGTTAGAAAACAACTAGAAAAACGTAGATGTCAAACAGTTCAAGTAACTTCATCCAAAATAGAGAGGCTTGAGAGGCAAAGATTTAAGATACGGGTTTCTTTTGTCTTTGCAGCACTCAAATCTACCATCGTAAATATTGGAGAATCCATTTCTCTCTTTTTCTGGGGGGAGGGGAAGAAACAATGAAGATTTCCTTGCATTTTCAGAGAATCCTGGCCTGCAAACAAAAAAAAGAAGGAAGTAGTTGCCCTCTTTTTTTCAACTCCAGTTAATATGGAAGTTGTTTGACTGTTCCACATTCAATCTAAATCCGACACACACTCAGAGCTCCAGAGCTGACCCTGCTCTGTGCCCAGGACCAAGCTGACAGTATTGCTTTTGACTTCACTGCAAGCCGGGCTGGGTCCCAGGCTGATGAGGCTCTCTCACCAGCAAGTGGAATGTTTTGAGAGAAATTGCCTCAGGCCTTGACCTTATCGTAGGTTGCTGTCACAGTAAATTCCTCCAAGAATCGCTTCCTTGCCTGCTTGCCCAAGGCCCCTGTGGCGCCTGCAGTTCCCCCGCCCTGGCTGACTAGTGTTGGTCGGGAAGCTTAGAGCTGCAGAGGCACTGCCATCCTACCAGCTCTGCCCTCCCAACCTTTCCCACTTACATGGCAGAACTAACCCTGCTCTGTGTGTGTGTGTGTGCACACGCAGGTGTACATGTATATATGTGCACCTGTGCGCGTGCATGCATGCTTTTGGGGGTTGCTCCTTTTCCTAATCTGAAATCTTTCTCACGTGCTATCATCACTGAGATTGTTGGCTACATAAAAACCCTGACGGCTCCTTGATCCCAGCACAGATGGACAGGGTTGGGTAAAAATGTCCAATTTCACCCATCCTCCAAAGCCGGGGAAACCAAATGCCACACTAAACCACACCACTTCACACCAGTGTGCTGGTTAGCGGCATCAGTCACTTGAGCTCTGGGGTTCCAACTAATGCTTCTGCCCAAAGCAGAGCCCTCTCAGTTATTGTCTCAATAACCTACTGAAAACATAGTAAAACCCGATGCTTAGATCAGGGCTGCTACATGTTACCTCTTGCATCTTCTGTTTGTTGTGAAACCCACACATTGGTAAGAATGGTTTTAAATTGAGTGCTAGAAGAAAGGCTCAGAAATCTCTGCTCACAGAGTAACGGACTCTGCATCAGTGCTGAATTTCCAGCCACATTTTTTTCTTCTCAATATTAGCCTAAAATGTCAGAGTGAGCAGTCACCAATCCCTACATATCACAAGGAATTAGTGGATGAATCAAATGCAATAGACTTATTATCAGTACATATCCTCTAGTAATAAAAGTGCAGTAGCATAGAGAATGCATAAACCAAAAGGGTAGGTCCTCAACTAAGAGAAATTGCTGAAGCTAAACTGACTTGGAGAGGCTGAAGAAATTACCTCAGATATTTTGTTACCTGGACAAAAACGGAATAGGTCCCACAGAGTGTCCGTTTCAACTCAGCAGCCACTTTGAGAAGACAGATGATCAACTCCATTCCACTAAGAGCTATCAGAATAGACAATAAAATGGTGTTCCACTCCACTATGTTAGCAGGTTCGGTGCACCGAGACCAAGCAGGGTAATCTGTGAGGTATCTATTAGAGAAACAGCAATCTGAAATAAATTAAATGTGGCGGGTGCAGTCCAATTTAAATACACATTATTTTACCTATAATATATAGAAAAAACATATTGGGTTTTATATGCTTCAAGTTTAGGAGTCAGGCTGTAGTCTTTCATTACACCAGTGTAACTCCTGCATAGGTTTGTCAAAATCATCTGAGTGAAGAGACTTATTTCCTCAAACAGATCTGCTTCATTAGTTTCCCTGTTGGACACCCAAGTGTTAGAAAGACACTCCATTTTTTCAAATGGCAGAAGCCACGTTTAAAACATGAATTTTCCTTTTATTGATTTAATTTCAGCTTTAGGTTAAGTCTAGCTGACATCAGTACTGTGCAGAGAACAGGAACACCCCAACACCATTGTTCTAATCAGTGCATGCAGCCTAAGTGGCAGAGCTGAGGTGTCACTGTGTGCAATATCCAGTTGTTCTGGAGCCGTGCTTTGCATCCTTGAGGATGCACAACTGACACGTGCCCTTTTAACTGCGAGACATGCTATAGCTTGGAAGTTAATTGCAAGAACCTTTGTTAGACTCACTTGCTCAGTGTTAGTTGCTTTTTTTCTAAACGTTCATAACTGAAATGCTTTGAGCCAAATGTGGAGTGCATGATTCAGCATCTGGCACTCTATGTTGAACTCAAACTCTCATTTTTATATTTCCAAATGGGATAGTAATGCTGGTGATGTAGCCTGAAGGCTGTAGCTTGTAGCCAAGGCCTAATTGCTTCTAATCCTTATCAGGCCTGTTGCTAAGGCCTAATTGCTTCTAGTCTTTTATCTATTTTTTTTTTCTAAGAAATAGACTAACATTTGTCATGATGACAGCTAAACCTTGAAACTACATCATAAACAATGGTGGAGAGAAAACAACTTAGTAACTAATCACTTCAAGGCCCATAAATAAGCCAAAACATGGGCTTAGATGTAGAAAGGAGGTGCCTCTAGCAGCTTCCCTGTCTTCCTCAGGAATTTGGCAAGCAGCTAATCAGCACGTACGGGTGTCCTGAAACGACTCAATACCTTAAAAGGATAACGTGAGGAAGGGTATTCCACTGCCCGAGACCATCAGAGACCACCGAAAACTCCTGGGCCTGCGCAGAGGGGACTGCTGACCTTGCAAAACAGAGCACTAGTGACCAGGTAAGCATAATTGGTCATAGTAATGAATATATAATTAGATGGGTGGAAATCTGTGCATTCATGTGTATAAATGACTGACAAAGGTGTCCGAGGGTGTGCTAGCTTTGTGGTGAAATACCCTAGCACCTGGGCCTCAATAAAGCAGTATCTCTGCTCTAAACTTTGACAGTTTCCTGAAGAGTCTTTATTTCAGGTAACAGTGATACACAGCAGAGATTGCAGGATGCACTTGAGTGTTTAAAAATAAATCTGATGTAAGTCGGAGGCAGCCATACTTTAGGAACTGCTCCTGTTGGATGCTGAAGGAACTTGTTTGTGACCCTCTGACAAACGTAATCCTCAGTGCATTTGCATGCAGCTGGAAGAGTTTGGCATCATATGACTTGAAATATTCAAGTCTTACAAACCTTTGATCTTTTAAAGGGAGAACGTAAAATCTTGCAAAAGCAGCCTCAGCTTACAGATCTGAACCAAACCTTTCGTGCCTCTAGGAGGCTGGCACACAGACCACACTTTGTCTACCCCGCTTAGGTGATTTATGAGATACAGCAACTGTGTGCAAAAACTACCAGTGATCAAACCACAGACTTCATTGAGCTTTAGGAGTTGAAGAGAAACCCACTGAGTTATTAAATATAAAAATGCCATCTATAATCTTTGAACCAAAACTTTGAGGAATTTGAGAGAACATTCTGAGAAAGTATCCCTCTACACTCACTCTAATCTTACATTCTTTACTACATGTGTCCTACACAGCCCCAGCCCAGCCGTGCCCGGCAGGCCGTTGGCAGGGCCAGGCGGCCAGGGCAGCTGCCCCGAGCGAGCTACGGGTGCAGCCCGTCCCGTAATGTCACGGTCAGCACGGAGGGGGAAGGTTTGCTGAGGAGGGGGAGCTGCTGTGGGCTTCCTGCTGGGGTTCCTCTGGCTCCTCCCTGCTCCTGAGGGCTGCTCTCCCATCGGTTGTGACGGCTGGCTATTCACCAGGCTGAGTACAGCTCCGTACACCTTTGGTGGTACCAGTGCTGTTTCATTAAATTGTTTTCACTTCCAACCACGGGTCTGCTCTCCTCTTCCCGATTCCCCTCCCTGGCTGGAGAGGGGTCATTGGGTGATAAGTGACTGTTACAGTTTAGCCCCAAACATAGACAATGTGATTGTGACCACCACGAGATAAAGGACGCTTATTTAGATGGACCTCCAGGTCTGATCAGTACAAATGTACTTAAATTTAATCTTTCCTTACAAGGAGGCAAAGGCAATACCTTTGTGCATTCTGGTGCTCATTCAAGGGGCTGGAAAAGCCTCATTCACTGTGATAAATGATGTTGTCCCAAACAGGATTCCAATTAAAGTTTCCAATTTATTAGGTGAATAGAGGCAAGCAAACAGCGCTGGGTGCGCTGGTGCACCCAGCACTGTTTGCTTATCTCTACTCACTTAATAAATTGGAAACTTTGTTTAAAAACCTTGTTTGGGACAACATCATTTATCACATTTGCCAATACAGGTCTTGGGTTCAGGAGACTGTGCCTTTTCGTGTAAAACTCTCAGAGAATTTGTATGACTACTGTTTGGTGAACATTTTCATCCAGAAGAGCTACACTTGATGATCTTAAAGGTCTTTTCCAACCTAAATGATTCTATGTTTCTTACCCTCCAGCAGTGTCTTTGAAGATATAATCCCATCCACCTGATGAATTGCAGAAGGGGCCTTGGATCAATCCCAAGGTAAAAATGATGCAACTGTATCCAGAGAAAGCAACTCCAAGCAGGGTTAGCACGATCGAAATAAAACTCTGAAGTAAAGAGAGAAAAATATTAGTGTGGGGACAGCGTCCACAAGAAATACAGTCATTCAACCTGCTTACCTACTTCCTTGGGGTTGAATTTCACATTTGATCGTCCCAATCTTCAAAATTTAGAAAGAAAAATACCAGGTAAAGAATACACATACAAAACAAAGATTAAGACAGTTTCACAACTCTGAGTTAAATATTGTTTGAGTTTTTTTTTTTTTTTAAACTTGCATTTTTGCAAAATTGTTTCCCAAAATGTCAGAGGAACACAACCATGCATTAAACGTTTGCATCCTAGATAGTGCATATTGAATCACTACTGGAAAAAATAGCTTCATCACCTTGCTTGTATTATTTGGAAGTGATTTAGTTGGGGCACTTCATTGAAACTCTCAGGCCTTCTAGGTTCTTATTTTATTTTACAAGGATTATTTTGTTTGTTTAATTTTATTTCATCCTGTGCATCAGAAGAAAGGAGCTATGCTTTCTGTGACCTCTCAACCCTATTTAGAATCCTCCTCTGTGAAAGGAAGCAGAAACAGAGCAGTGGAGAGGGCAGAAGGATGTGCTGGAAACACGGGAGCAGGAAGGCACTCAGAACAAATGCTAGAGATGCACAAAAATAAAACACAGACTCACCCTGTAGGTTTTGTTACAGCTCTCACTCTGGCAGCACCGATAGAACACGCTACACTCCAGTGTTATCAGAATTACTGCCAACAGAAGAATCTATAAAGGGGACATTATGAGGAGGTCAGTGACATGACTGCAGATATTAAGCCAAAGTCTCCTTTGCCTATGGAAGTCAGGAACTCCATCCTTTATGCTCTGTTGACACTTTAAAGCTGGTCAATAGGACAGCACAATTACTCAAGGTGCACCATGGAACCATACGGTTTTTACTAGGCTGTCACTGCATTTGTTTGTGGTACTTGAGACAAGAGTACAGTGTCTCTTACCACAGCAAAGCGTTACTGGCACAGATACAGCTATACCAGTGAAGATGAAAGAATAAAACCAAGCTCACAAGTAAAAGAATCAATACCAATGAAAGGAAGGATATTTTACTGATACCACAGCATCAGCTCAACAGCTTCTTGCTGACACAGTTACACAGATCAGGGTATCATCTTCCTTACCAACACTGTTATGCTAGAAAGAGTCAGTAGTATGAGCTTTTTGTTAAATTCACCTGGACTTTCATTTGCTTTCCCTGTCAAGTATCTATACTGTTTTTCTCAGAGTACTGGATTATTTAAATCTGACACTGGAATAATTTCAATAAATAAGATTTGAACTCTAGAACCACAAACTGCCACTCAGAGAGGCACTGGTTTCAAAGGAGAAAGATGAAAAGGGAACGTTTCTGAATCTCAGCACAATCCTCTCACATGCTGCTGCCCTATTTGTAACAAGATAATACATACGTTTTTAATAAACTGGTAATAATCCTAAGGCTAAAAATGCTTCAAAATATGAATGTCACTGTTGCAGTTAACTTTTCCCCAAATTTTCAACTACGCTTTTCTGTTTAAACTCTGATAGATTTTTCCCTCATCTAGAAAAGGTAAGGTTTTTCTTCTGCTTTAGGGAAAATACACGATTTCAAAAGAATGTCTCATGTTTTAATAACACGCCCAGTTCAGCAATTTCATAAAAACAGCTTACTTAGGCAGATGAGACCTTTTAAACTACTGGCTGTGTGCATGCACTTTTACTACATCAATGCTTTCTGTCCCTGAGGCTACAGTTCTTTATGAACAGAGTGAACAGCATGAGCAGTGGGCAACCCTGTGTTAGTTTATCACTGCAGATGAGCATACTACAAATGTAATGAGAAAATCCTAGTATGCCAACCGCAGTGAGACAATCTTCTGTATTTAGCCTAACAGTGGCACTTGACGCATTGTGAACTGTATCCAGTCCTCTACATACTGGACTGCATACAGCTCTTCAAAAACATCTGAAGAGTTACAAGAAGCTTTTTTAGTTTTTCTATCATTTTGTCTTGGTAAAAGAGCTCTAATTCAACCTCCATAGAGCATTAAATCAACACAGTGCCTGCCTCTACAACACACGTGTAAAGTACACATGAACAAAACGCCAGCAGGGAAAACCAAAACCAAAACAATTAACCCTGAAACATCACTTACACGAAAATAAATAGTATACATAGCATGACATTCAGTATATTAAGTTTTTTTTCAGTTTGATCGAGTTTTTCTGCCTACAGTGTTTTTGCTAGAGTAATCTATACTGTCTTTAAAAGCACAATTACGCCGCTGCACAGTAACCCAATATTATTTGCAGCAGAATGCAATTCATTAAAAATCTGTAGAACCAACACTTACCATCACACCTGAGAAACAGATCCCTTCAAAATACCACACGTAGTTGGGAAGGTGGTAAGTGGCAGCATGTGCAGCTTTCCCATTAGGGAAGTATAACAGGATGTTAACAACAATACTCCAAAGTGCAAGAGGTATCAGCAGACAACTCAAACAGCTTCCACACGTCTCCAAAGCCATCTCTCAAGAACTTTAAATTTGCTCTTCTAAGGTACCAAAAGATTACAACGTTTTAAATACGAAAAGCATTTGACCTCCTCAGTTTGACTGAGTCATTTCATATTCACAAGAACCAGGTGGCTGGGGTATGACTCCAGAGCTAGAGAAGTGCTTAACAGTTAGCAGAACAATAGATGAATATCGCTGTCCAAACTCATTGTCCTTTCTAAGCATATGTCTTTAAGTAGCAGTTTCCCTTCTGAAAGATCCTTCTTTGTGAGCTTCCAAATATGTCTAGCAATCAGACTCAGGAAGGAACTTGAAAAATATAATTTCCTAGTGACTGCTTAGAAATGCACTCCTCCCGACAAGAAGATTAGGATGCAGATATTCTGTGATATGAGGCAGGTTGCTCAGCCTTACTGCAGCTCAAAACTTTTTCTACCTTACATGGGGAAGGGCGCTGTCAAATGATAAATATGTCCAGTCTCTGTACAGAATTGCCTCACACTACACAGACTTAATACCAGGACTCGGCAGATATGGCCCCAAGGGTGAGCCAACACTCACTGCTAACACGGGGCAACCTCAAAAAAACCACCAAGCTGAGTCTCTGCCACCTTGCAGAGAGTACAGAAGCCCAAATAACACTGGTTAGAAACTGCCAGGCAGACTTATCGTCACACTTTAACTAATTACTCTTTTCCACAGCATTATGCAGCTCAACTGTTTTATGAACTAAATCCTTTATTTATGCAGTTGTTTTATTCTGTGCTTACAGCTAAGTATGCACAGCTACAGCTCTGACCTAAGTACATGTGACTTCTTGTACAGGACAAAAGGTCTGACTGTTTTTTGAAATGCCTGCTGTTTTGCACCGTGCAAAGCCAAAGCCAGACAGTTTCCCCATTTTCATTTGTCATCATTCCCCAAGCAACTAAACATCATTCCCAGTAACACAGAGCTAGAGCTGTTCAAATGCTCACAGCACAACCCAGCCTTCTTTCTATGTCCCTGTGAGTCATCAGGAAAGTAACTCAAAAATGAGCTTAGGGCTTACTCAATAGGAAAGTGGTGGTCAGAACAAAAAAAAAAAAAAAAAAACGGGCTCTATCAAAAGAAGGCGGCTGATTTTAGAAGCAATGATGTCATGGAATATTTTCCTTCTGTTTCCTCATGAACTGTTTTAGGCTCTGCACAGACGAGGCTTCTCTCAGGATCTCATAAAGCCTGTTTGGGTTGTGTGTTGTAACTAATTCCTTCAAATGACATCACCGAAGGAAATGGGCATGGTGGTACTCGTGCAATTACACAATTTTTCTACCCGTTCCCTGCTCTGACTCTTCCATTTCCCTCTCCCCTTCTTTTTCTAGGCGGCTTCATTTTGAAGGCCTCAGCCTTTACTCTGAAGATCTTCCCATACACCCTGTTTTACTCCCTGATCACTACAGACACTTTTTTCAGGCCTCCCTCTAATCAAAATCAGTGGCAAACATCCCTCTGTAGGCTCACAGGCATGGACAGAACTCGTACCATCAACACTGCACCTTACAGATCAGAGAAAACAGCTGAATTAAAACGAGGCACATCACATCCCCAGGACTGATTTTTTTATTCTAAAACTCATAGATCATGTAATAGGCTGAAATCTTGTCTTCTAAAAGCAAAGGCCAAAATTACTAGTAAGCAGCTTAGTTTATAATCAAATTTGCTGCTACTTCCCATAGTAATTTGTTCTGATTAGAAGCAGCTTACTTGGAAAATGACGCCTGAAGCAGCATTCATTCTGCAGTACAGCAGCCTGCATCATGACTTATTTTGCGTTTAAACTGAGATCTGCAAATACCAAATCAAGGTGTATTTTTTTGCTGGCACACTATACTGCTAGAACAGAAAGCAACCATTTTATACTAAGTATTAAGCAAATCTGGTAACCAGTTTCTCAAACTGCCAAGTGTTGCAAGAACTGCTTTCCCATTGCTGCCAATATCCATGAGCTGATGCCAAGCCCATTACCGAAAAGCCAAGTTTACTCTGGATGAGTGCCTTCTCTGCTAACTGAAATGAATATAACCTAAAACAACTGCTTCTCCATGATGCAACTGATAAAACTCGCCAAACACTGTCTTATGCATCAGGCAAAGGAATTCAACTGGCCTCTTCTTAAATGACAACACAAGCAGTGAGCAGTAATGCTGTGCATTAGCGCTACATGAATCTGAGCTTAAGTTTCAATTCTAGACTCTAGCCTAATCATACTGTCCATTGGAATGTCTAAAATTGTTTCAGTTCTTTAATTAGTTGTGTGTCACAGAAAGACAATAATTACACAAGCATAAAGGCAAAAATCTGTAAGTTGCATGGGAATTATACCCTATTCCATCAAGATCTTTTCCTCCTCCTCTCACTCCACACTTAAACTTGCAGATCCTTTTTCAAACACTTAAAAAGTTACCATACTGCACAGCTGCAAGGTATTTGTGTGCCCATGTACACATGCACATTCTCCTCCCTCCCACAGCAGGGCAAGACAGGGATAAACGCAGCATGCAGAAATGGTGTTAAAGACTGCCCTCAACTACTCCTGTGTATTTATGTATGAATAAATGGTATTGCAAGATGCAGATACCCTGAGATTCTAAACAAACTCCCATGTGAGACCTTTTCATTTAAAAATGCCATTGCCAGTGGCATAGTGACCTTGCCAGCAGCACTGTTGGCAGTGCATCATTCAGTTTTACTTTACCTTGTGACAAAACATTCACTGTAATACACTACAAGCTACACGTCAGAGGTTCTTGCACAGGATCTTAGAATACTGCCTCTAGGCTGCTTACTGCTGAAGTCAAGTATTTCAGATTTATCTATCATTGCTGACCTGAATTTGCACTGTATTTTCTGAACACTGCTAGGCCTAGGGGTCTGCTGAGCAAGGTGAAAAACAAGACCCAGACTCACATTTTGTTTTGTCTCAAGACTCTTACTAAGGAGGTAAGCTCCCCTTGTGCAACCAGCAGAAGGGACACAGAACTACGGCTCACCTGCACAGGAACCTCCCTCCAGTCCTTGGAATGGCCATCAGCAATGAACTGCTAGCTCAGACTGCAGACAATGCCTCCATGTACACAGTTGTATCTGTCACAGAGCTGTCACTGAACTGTCATACCCTTGTTGATGCACAAGCGCCTGGCTCAGCTAAACGATCCAAACCAAACAGTGAAGCAGGTCCCACTCTGCTGGAGCCTGCTGGAGAGGAAAAGTAGGTTACAACCTGACTGCTTTATATTCATGTTCTCAGGTCACCACTGTCCTTTGCTCTAAGACCAGGAAAGCAGTGTTTCAGCATGGGCAGGGAAAGAATCACTGACACCTGCTGGGTATTTTTAATACAAATCTTTATTTGTGAATAACAATACATGAGCAGTTCAGAAAAATCCTGAAGAGGTAAAGTGGTCAAGTCCATGTATCTGCCCTCAATCATCCACATTTTACACTGCTGCTTTGTTTCTGCCCCAGCTGAGTATTCATTTATATATCCAAACCAGACTAGATTGGGTTTTTGTTCATTCCAACATCAGAATGAAAGCGCAACTTTATTGGGAAAGCAGCATAAAGTACAGAGCTGTCGTGTCAGTAGAAAGGAAGGGAAAAAAAAAAAAAAGCAGCACCTTTAGTGACATGTTCAGGCAGTTGCCCATACCAAGATGAAATGGACCAAAGAAATTCAGGATACATTTTGCCTTTAGATAAAGGCAGGTTAGTGGAAAACCTGCATCTGACTCCAACAACAAAGGCTGGCCCCAAGTCAGTTAAACTGATGGCAAGGGCAGTTTGACAACAAACAACATGCATTTTAGTATGCACAGAATGTAAAAAAACCAACCCAACACAGAATACTCAATACGCCACACATATGCACCGACGTCAATGCATTGTCAGGTTTCTAGCAAACGTATGTCTGTGGGGAGAACAAAAAGACAGACAGACATATTAAGGGGAAGAATGCTAATATTGTATCCAAATATAAGAGCTAAATTTAACTTGACCACATTTAGACAACCACAGTATGGTTCTCTCATACTGTAGTTACAACATGGAGGACAGGAATGTGAAGACAGTAACAGCTTTGAAAGAGCCCCAACATCTAACTATATCAATTAAAAATGTGAAACACATTCTTAGCCATAATGTGTGTGTGATATAAACCATATCTGGTTCATACCTTAAGCTATTGCAATTCCAACACTACCTCTACAATACTGATTTTAACGATATGCTCAAACTTTTTAACGAGACTCTAAAGAAATTTGGAAGAAATTCCCCTTCCTCACTCAAAAAAACCCCCACCTTCAAAAAATCCTTCAGATCTGTCTGCAGGTTTTGTAAGCTACGTGCAATGTAATTCCTTCTCTTATCTTACTTTTAGTAAGGAAGGCCAGGATACTGCAGTTTTCATTACATATGGCATATTCTCAGTAGTGTATTAGCTGCTGTGAGAAAAATACAGGGCTAAAGCAACACGGTTAGAACAAGCAGCCTACCGCAAAACTGCATCACACTATGCAACAGTGGTTTAGGCTATGGTAAAGACCACCACCACCAGGGGATTTGTATTTCAGTTATATCACCTATATAGTGCTGACGACCACATGAGCCATAGGGGGATAAAAGCCTTCCAGCTCCTGTGCAGACCAACTTCACTCTGACAGCTGAGAAATCAGCTGAAAGCATGTGGTCACATACTGAATGAAAATGCTAAACACAACAGGGCTATAAAAAAAGTTGTACACTGAATTGTTGCTTAAGAATACCTAAACAACAGCTGCTCGGTAAGACTCCACAGTAGCATCAATAACAACAGTGTTTCACGTCCATCTGAGAAGCATAGTTATAACTACAAACGGCTTACCTCCTCATGACTGCAGCACAACCCACGTAGTCCTCCAAGGATGCCATTGACTATCTGTATGAAGCACAGAATGAACTCTATTCCTCCCAAGCAAAGGAGGATGGAAAAGAGGGTGACATTCCACTGCACGATGTTTTGAGGTTCTTGACATTCAGACCATTTGTCATACTCAAACAAGTACCTGTACACAGCAGTTAAAAGCATATTAACATTATGACAGATACATACCATATATCACCATACACTAGAATCAAACTGCATCTACTCTGTAACTCGATTGCATTGAGGACAATCACTCTAAGTGGGAATAGAAAATGCAATTGTTTATTCCATACAGAGGTTGCTCTGTTTAAGAACATGTTGAACTATCAATCATACATTTTTGTTAAGTCTTAAATTCTTTTTTTTTAAAAAAAAGAACCAACCTCTAAGCTATAAAGGCAGAATCTTCTATTATCGATTAAAGCAAGACACAAGCTCAAGAAAGCTGAAAGAGCAAACCTACTTCGCAAAACAACCACAGAGCTTTTCAGGACTGGGCCGTTAATCTAAAGACAGCAATTACTGATCTGAAGCAAATGGGTCACTTTCTCTTGTGCTGCTGTATTTGGGCACTCACATGCCTACTCTGGAAGAGCCAAACGCAGAACCAATTCAGAGAGGTACTGCCATATTCCAGCTGTTACCCTCACCCACATCTTCAGAACATCAGCACTGATGAGCCTTCAGCAAGGACTTAACTCAGTTCTTCTATATCCAGTCATAGTTGGAGGGGATGGGGGAGGAGGAACACCCCCCTCTTGAGAGAGATGCAACTGAAATGTAAAACTCAAACTCTCTGCTGCAAAGGAGCTTCACATGGCTTCTTAGTACTCAAACTGTCTCTAGTCTGGCATCAGCCATAAACTGTACTAGGAACTGCCTTGAGGTTGCCAACCATATAGATACTGTAAAAGCATGTCACGATCCAGACCAAATCCTCCTCCAGCCTCCAGGATTTGTGGTCCTTAATGGGGAATAGCATACAACTCAGCTACATAAGCTTGGTTTGCTTGAGAACCCTAATTAGGGATAATTAAGAGCTTCTGGCCCTCCCCACCCTGCAGCATACAAAGGTTCTTACAGACCTTTTCTAGTTTCATTACAAAAGTTCTATGCCATTGTCACTGATGAAGGTATCATGCCAGTTTACACTGTCACAAAGCAACTTCAGAAGCAAGCCTCACAGAACAGATTCTTAAACAGATAAGACAAATTTCATAACAACCACTATTCATAGTTTAGAAATCTCTCATAAGTCCTAAAACTTTGTTAGAGATATTGACTCGAACAGTATATGGTATGTAGATATCATTAACTATTTATATATATACACACACACATATGTTTGGATCTCTTTTTGTAGGACAGAGGACTCACATTGCTTTGGTTTTAAAGTATAGCAGCATGGGTAACTGATGCCGTCTGCTTAGTTCTTAGTGAGTGAGAAGCATAAACTTACAAATGGATCTTGGTATATGGTTACTGGATATTGCTGAAAGGTAAAGGAATAAAGCCCGTGCGTACATGGGGGAATGTATAACATCCTCATGAACAGACAACTTACCCTCCAGAGGATTCAGTGAAAGGATACACCCAGTTTCTTTCTAGGTGAGTAAAACAATACGGTCCATGAGACAAGCCCAGTGCTGACACAATTATACAGTATCCAGAACCCAGGATCCCAACAAAGGCTGCCAGAACCGAGGACAGCATCTGCACAGCAAACATAGACATGAACTTTCAACAGTCATCACCTTGTCTTTGGGATTATCTGGGACTGGAGTGTAAAGGCTCACTTACTGCACAGCTTTTCCCACAGTCCTCATGGCCAGAGCACCCACAGCAGTCATTGTGAAGCCCAATGAATACAGCAGCTGGAATGAGTACCTAGGTACGGAGCAAACAACCACATCGTTCTATTTTGTTGCACAATCAGGGCAGATAAATCATGCAATGTGAGGACTGTGTTTTATATTGCTTCCTGGCAGGGGTATGGGGGGCAGCCTGTATACATTATTCAATTTTACTCCTGTTTAACACAGTAGGCATCTCGCTACTGATACCAGTAGCGCCACACAGGTATATTTCTATTTCCACTTTGTGCATACACAGCACTTAAGTGCATAAAGAGCCTGTCGACAAAAACTCTGCTGTGGTATTGCTGCAATTTAAGGTACTTCAAAAGTTTTTGTTCTCATTAAAGGCTGCATCCTGCAAAAACAATGCTTTGCAAAAAAATGCATTCACTTGCTGCCAAATGAGGACCACAAGAAAAGGCTCTCAATTATTTGTTAAAAAACCAACTACCACTGACACGATAATCACTGAAGAGTAGCCATCACTGCCTGCGTGACAAACCAGTCTTGACTGCAGTAGAAAATCTAGGAATATTTTGCCCAATTCAGACAATCACCTCATTATAGACATCTAGCTTTTTCTAGATTTTCACAAGCAGTTTCCAGTGACAGAAATGCAAAGTAACAAAGCAGAAGCTACTTGTAGGAAAGTCTTCCATACTCTAGAGCTTTTAGCATAAAATCAAGGAGCAGAGTTGATTAAACAGAGTATCCTCCCCACCAGCACTAACAGGACTTAATAATAGTCTGCACTTATAAAGGGCTTACACCCAGGAGTACCTTGGAAAACCACAAAGAAAGAGCAAAGCGTTATCCCCAAACTGCACAGATTTCCTTAACAAAAGACTAAAATAACAGCTATCCAGTTGAACAGTCACATCCTCGTCAGCCCTTACTCAAACCTATTCCCCGAGCCCCAGTGCTGCAGGTCCAGAAGAGGTTGCACAAGTGCATTCCAGGAGCAGTTCCACTGATTTAACTTGTATTATTCTGTGCGTAAAGCCCAGTCTTTGCAAATCCCAGTCCAGGTCCCAATGGGGCTGTAACACAGCTGTAAGCACCTCTCACCAGACGGAGGGCCTCATCTTGCAATCACTTTCAACCTGAATTTTCAGACACCTTGAGATTTGTAGCCTATTTAAAGGGACTTTTAAAAAGCACATGAAAAAGGAAGCCTGGAGAGAGGGAACTTAAATATGCTACAATGTGGTCCACAAAATTGCAAAGGCAGAAAATAATGCTTCGGATTAACAATGCCCTATAATAAACATATTCATTCTTCATCCTTTGCTGCTGCTCGAATGAAAGCTTTGATAACTGCCACTCAATTCCTCTGAATAAAGAGCTAAGTTAGAAAAATAACTGTAAACATCTCAGATAAAAGAAATTAAAGAATTGTAACCAAATGCTACTTTAGGGAATTGCAAGTAAATGCTAGTTTAGGGACATTTAAAAGAGAATACTTCAATAATATAACAAAAATATAAGATTTAACCCTTTACACAAACCATGACCTGCTCAGAGGCTTGGCCCCAGTTTTACATTTGGATTCTGCGACCTAGACCCCATGCTTTTCTCAGCTTTAAAGTGACATGCTGAAGATAAGATAACCAATTGTAACTAATAATACCTATGGGGTAACACAGCTAATTTCTTTTGATACAACTCCAGAGATTCCTGGTGACAAGATATTTGATCAATAAATTAGTGTAACTGGTAAGGAAACAGTAATACCAAGTAGCTCCAAAATAAACTTGAAAGAAACCACTAGCTCATTACTTACCAAAAAGCCTCCACCTAGAATGCCATGAAGGCACTCCACGTATTTGCCGAGATGATGCTCTGAAGCAAATCTTGTTTCACCATTGGGAAAATAAAGTAAAATGTTGGCCACAATGCTGAGCAAGGCAAGGATGAGCAACTTATAACCAATACACCTAGTACACCTTCCAAAACACATGTCCTCAGCTTTAAAAATCCTTCTTTCACTAGTCCAATCCAACCTCTCTCATACCTGTCTACACCTAAAAGAAGATCAGCCTTTATTCTCACCTCCTTAAATACTCACGGTTACCTAGCTACCTGGATGACATTTACACCTCTTCATAACCACCATTCCCAATTGCAGAGTGAGGGAATAGGGATGGCAGAACGCCACCACCCTTTTTAAATGCAATAATTGTTGACAAACCTAATGCAATCAAGGAAATACTGAATACTAGGTAATTTCACTCTAATATATGATGCTTGGAATGATCACCACTGAACACGAGTAGACACGAACAACAGGCTTAAACCACAACACAAGTTCTGTTAGGAACTGAAGGGAAAAGGTTTTGTTTTCTTTGTTAGAAGCAGCTTTGACATTTAGGTTTATAGACTGATTCAGAACAACCTGAAGCCAGGGAAAGACTCAGATGACTTCAACAGTATTGAGTCAGAGTTTTAGCTATAAACAGAATAAATCTACAGCAATGAGGAGTATGCAGAGCAACCTCTTGTTTTACTGTCCTCTTAATGGAATAAGAGCAAACCTCATCAGAAGATTGGAAAAACAAATAAAATGGACAGGTAGGCTTCTAAGGAGTGTCCTTGCTCTCATCATTTTAAGACAAGCTGACTTTAGATTAATAGCCATTTGTTAAAGCTAAACCAAGCGAACACTGATGAAAAATATCGCTTCAAAAAGAGGATTGTAAAATACAGTCCTTGCACTGATATTTCATGTATAGAAACAAAAAACAAAAAAAAAAAAAAAAGGAAGGGAAAAAAAGAACCCCCCCAAACAGGGGTTTCCAAACTGTGGTACATGCACCAGTAACATTAATTTACATAGTAAATGGAGATACAAAGTGACTTGGAAAAATTAAGATCAAGCCTTCTCCCTTTTCCCTCACGCAAATTTTGCTAAATAGCCAAGAGGTTTCTTCACATACATACAGCTCAACACAGAGGCATGAACTGCCATGCCCACTGCCACCGCATGATAGCGGACAAAAACCAAGAAGTGCTCAGGCCCAGGCTAGATTCAGGAGGTGCTGCTGCTGCCATCATCATAACATAATATAATTATCATTGCAAAAACCGTAGCTAGACAAACTGAGTTTGGGAATGTACAGGATATTAGAAGTGAGACGACTTCAGTTATTTAGGGGGAAAAACACTCATTTGTTTTTTGTTGGGGGTGTGTGTGTATTTTTTTTTAACAGCTAAATAACACTGTAAACAGAAGTCCACATCAAATCTATGGTGCTCTTGCAAGCGATGTCAGCAACACTTAACCTGAGAGAGAGCAAGGGCAAAAAGAAAAAGGGGGGGCAGGGGCAGGAAGAGAACAGTCTTGTGCAGATGTGGTTTTGTGACGCAACTTCTCCGGGTATTGTAGCTGTTGACCTTGGAGACTTCCTTCACTAGGAGAAATATCCTCTAATTGTAGAAACATAGGCTTACCATTATTGTGCACTTCACCTCTGATGACTAAAACAAGCATAAACATCATCCTGGAAGTTTCCTCTACAGAAGGAGATGGTTGCTCAACTGAAAACTCCCTTTATTGTGTTATGAATTTTAAAAACATTTAAAAAAAAAAAAAAACAAACTCGAACAACTCTCCTCCCAAAACCACCACCCAACGCCACCACCCCACCCCAAACACCACACCATACACATGGCCACTGGGAAGTAGCTTTAAAATCCGTTCTATTTATAACCTGCACAAAAGGCAAGCAATCACTCAGTGTTTATTAGAGATGAGAAAGCTTAACTTTAGACTGTAACTCTGGCTGAGAAGCACCTACTGCACTGTGGCACAGGAAGGACAAAACAATCAAAGGGGCAGTGAAGGAATTTTGATAGCACATGCTAAGGTCCAGCAGGTAGGACCATTGTAAGAGACTTCCATATCCTCTCCTGGCAGAAGGGGGCTGATTTATGAACAAATACAGCAACTGGCTTGTATCCCCAAATCATCAATTCCGCAGAATAAAGTCTGTTGGCAGAACAGCGCTACGTGGGGCAGGACACTGACCCTTCATGCCAGAGAAGTGGCTAAAATTAGGTGCCTTGTCCAATTACTGAGTTTATCTAATACGAAGTCTAATTTCACAAGTGGTCCAAGGATCCAGCAACAAAACCCCCACATCAATAGTCACTGTTGCTGTCACTCTTGTATTACAGCAGGAAGACAGAAGCCTGCTTCTGTCACAAAATAAAGATGCTAGAAAGACTAGCTTTTCCTGATGCCAAAAAGCAGGAGATCTCAAATTGTAGAAGAGCTCTCTACA